CAGACCGTTCTCGGAGATAATAATCGATTAACAAGACTCCTCTATGAACAGACAGCCAGGGGTGTTGCAAAAGGAACAAGGTGTTAACGACAAGGAAACGAAGCTGCCGGCTAAACTCTTTCGCCTTGCCCAGTTGCTCTTCGATTCCACGTGGTATGCAAATGTCCCGTCTCGTGACTCGAGTTCCGCCCTCCGTGATATGTAATGAACTAGGATGGATTCCCCTCCACAATGAAGGTTATTGCTTTATTACAAATTAGGGTTTCGTGTTGCTCCCATCCACTTCTTTGTGCCCCCCCATATCACATGCAACCTGGTCAGTGATTTTTTGCGACTTAATTTAAATACGAAAAAAAATTAATTATTACTTTCCTTTTAAATTACACCCTTTCTCATAACTCTGTAAAATATTCAAATTACTGAATAATTTGTACTTGTGGCACCACTGTTCTTTTTTTTTTTTTGGGATTTATTTTTCAACAGTTTACTAGGGTGATTGCGCTATCTGTTTCCGTTGGCTGACATTAGGAATTGCTTTAGCTGTACAGCGAAGCCACGGATTTACCGTATTATGGACGTGAAATTAAAGGAAGGCCGATAGAGGTTGGAGCTGATTACGAACCAACTCGGTGCGATGAAGTTGAAGATCTGTATGAATTGCTTGCTTTCATTAAGCGGGAGCATCCCACAATTCAAGGTAATTGTTTTTGAAAAAAAAAATTTCACTTTTTGAGCGACAATTCGAAATATTGTCTGAACCAGAGCCCTTCTCATCCCTGTACGAATTTTACTAGCACAAGCTTTCTTGTTAGGGTTAAAATGCCCCGTCGAAATTTACCAATCAGGAAAAATCTTACCAGTGGAAGCACTAGTATGCCACTGATATAGCCAACATCGATGATATAGCCAAGTGGTATAGCCAACATCGATGATGCTACTTTTCGAGTCACCGAAGCCGACATCTACAACTGACATGCCTTACAGCTGCAATTAACTTCCTGAACTTCGAGGGCCAGTATATCACAAATCTGAGCTAATGTGATTTCTTCCTATCTTATTACAGCACAAAATAGTGCGAAAACGCATGATCGCACCGGCCCGCCTGATACGTCCCAGCCTAGGTTTGTTCACTGTGTGGTTATTTTGACCAGTGCCACCTGGCCTGATGGTCAGCGTTCTGGCGATTCCGGCGTCCCTTTCGTCTTTCAAAGAGATTACCGAGTTAGCTTCTTTCCCAGCACACTTTGACAAGTTTTATTTGTTCCGAAACACGATTTTTTAAACCGATTGTGACAACCAGATTGACCCTGGAAGCCTAAATGACGAGGGCACGATAGATTACAGCATGATAGAAGAGCATGAGAGAAGAAGATGAGAGTGAGATAAGACGTTTCGGTCCATTAAGTCGAATAACTTTTGGAAGCTCAGAGGTAGCGAGTGGATATGCTTTGGAATCTCTGCGCTCAGCTTTCCCCCTCGTCATTTCCTATCCTTTGCCTATACGTTACCTTCTTCTTCCTCTAGTCGTTCCCATACTCAATTCTTTGCATAATTTTACGAGAAGAATGTCTTTTCAGCTGTCTCCAGTGGTGCAATTTTGAGTAGCTATCAAAAAAATCGTATTGAAAATGTTTGCCAAAGGCTGAATTTGCAATCCCTCACTTATCTGTGGAACTTGGACCAGGCGTTCCTCTTCGATCAGATCATTTCGTCGGGCATTGAAGCAATTGTGGTTAAAGTTGCAGCGCTTGGATTATCCAAAAATCATCTCGGAAAACCATTAAAAGAGGTAAGTCCAAATTATCTT